TATATATATATATATATATATATATATATTCATATATGTATGTATATATATATATATATATATATATATATATATATATATATATATATATATATATATATATATATATGAAATAAAACACCATCGCCAACAAAGCACCACAACAAAAAACTTTAAGCTCGTAGTTCGTATCTCTCTCCCGCGCTTCACTTGACAACGTAACTATCAAAAAAAAGAAAAGAAAATAAAAAATCTTCTCGAGGGGGGGGAGGAGGTGACGTGAATATCCACCCAAAGGGAAAATTTGGCAGTGTGCCGATGTGACGCGAGATTCTTAAATTAATAATCAAAACAAAACCGCAACTGGCAGACTACGGGCGTAATGGCTAATGCGTGGCCTTGAAAACGGGTGCGTTGCGTTGATTGTGCAAGAGTGTCAATGGTGGTGAGGAGTATGGTGGTGAGGTGGGGGTTGGTGTTGGAGGGGAGTGGTGGTGGTGAGGGGAATGGTGGTGTTGGAGGGGAGTGGTGGTGAGGTGGGGTTTGGATTTGGAGAAAAATGGTGGTGAGGTGTTGGAGGGGAGTGGTGGTGGTGAGGTAGGGGATGGTGTTGGAGGGGAGTGGTGGTGTTGGAGGGGAGTGGTGGTGTTGGAGGGGAGTGGTGGTGAGGGGAATGGTGGTGTTGGAGGGGAATGGTGGTGTTGGAGAGGAGTGGTGGTGTTGGAGAGGAGTGGTGGTGAGGTGGGGCTTGGATTTGGAGAAAAATGGTGGTGAGGTGTTGGAGGGGAGTGGTGGTGGTGAGGTAGGGGATGGTGTTGGAGGGGAGTGGTGGTGTTGGAGGGGAGTGGTGGTGTTGGAGGGGAGTGGTGGTGAGGTGGGGGTTGGTGTTGGAGGGAAGTGGTGGTGTTGGGGGGGTTGGTGTTGGAGGGGAGTGGTGGTGTTGGAGGGGAGTGGTGGTGAGGTGGGGGTTGGTGTTGGAGGGGAGTGGTGGTGTTGGAGGGGAGTGGTGGTGGTGAGGGGAATGGTGGTGTTGGAGGGGAGTGGTGGTGTTGGAGGGGAGTGGTGGTGTTGGAGGGGAATGGTGGTGTTGGAGAGGAGTGGTGGTGAGGTGGGGTTTGGATTTGGAGAAAAATGGTGGTGAGGTGTTGGAGGGGAGTGATAGTGGTGAGGTAGGGGTTGGTGTTGAAGGGGAGTGGTGGTGTTGGGGGGGTTGGTGTTGGAGGGGAATGGTGGTGTTGGAGGGGAGTGGTGGTGTTGGAGGGGAGTGGTGGTGAGGTGGGGGTTGGTGTTGGAGGGGAGTGGTGGTGTTGGGGGGGGGTGTTGGAGGGGAGTGGTGGTGTTGGAGGGGAGTGGTGGTGTTGAAGGGGAATGGTGGTGTTGGAGGGGAGTGGTGGTGTTGGAGGGGAGTGGTGGGAGGGGAATGGTGGTGAGGTGGGGGTTTGTGTTGGAGGAGAATGGTGGTGAGGGGGATGGTGTTAGTGGTGGGGACGGGGATAGTGATGAAGACGAGTTATGGTGGTGAGGAGGAGGTTAATGGCGGTGATGAGTGATGATAATGAGTGGTGTTGAGGGGGATCGGTATCGGTGATGAGTAGTGGTAAGGAGGGGGTGGTGATTCTGAGGGAGCTAGTGGTGGTGAGGACGATGGTGCTAGTGGTGAAGATGAGGTCAGTGGTGGTGATGATGGAGAGGAAGTTAATGGTGATGATGATGGGGAGAGGGTTTGTGGTGGTGATGATGAGGGAGATAGTGGTGGTGATGATGGAGAGGAGGTTAGTGGTGGTGGTGGTGATGATGAGGGAGATAGTGGTGGTGATGATGGAGAGGAGGTTTGTGGTGATGATGAAGAGGAAGGAGATAGTGGTGGTGATGATGAGGAGGAGGGCTAGTGGCGGTGGTGAGGAGGGGGGCGGATTAGTGATTGGTGTTGGGGCAATGGCTTTAGTTAGTGAATAATGAGAAAAGGGTAGGGATCAAATTGTGGCATTGGTGTTGCTTCTTCGGTTGACTGGTGATGATGGTGATGAAGATGAAGAGTGATGATCCTTGGTGGAGGTGATGTGTTGGTGGTGATGTTGGTGGTGAGAGAAGTATACGATGGTGAGTGGTGGTGGTGATGATGGTGGTGTAGATGGTGAGTGGTGGTGGTGATGATGATGGTGTAGATGGTGAGTGGTGGTAGTGATTGTGATTGTGTAGATGGTGGGTGGCGGTGGTGATTGTGATGGTGTAGATGGTGAGTGGCGGTGGTGATTGTGATGGTGTAAATGGTGAGTGGTGGTGGTGATGATGATGGTGTAGATGGTGAGTGGTGATGATGATGGTGTAGATGGTGAGTGGTGGTGGTGATGATGTTGGTGTAGATGGTGATTGGTGGTGGTGATGATGATGGTGTAGATGGTGAGTGGTGGTGGTGATGATGATGGTGTAGATGGTGAGTGGTGGTGGTGATGATGGTGGTGTAGATGGTGAGTGGTGGTGGTGATGATAGTGGTGTAGAAGGTGATTGGTGATGAATTTG